GTCCAAAATTTTCTTTTTGCCAAGGGCCCCTAATGACATTGAGCCGGCCCTGCTCAGATCCACACGTAGTAGTGTCTTCATTGCCCTACCAAAATCCCTAGCACAAGATCATCTTCCACCTTTTCTGTTACCCATAGCCATGAGTTTCCAACACAAGTTGATACCTGCTGCTTTTTGAACCAACAAAAAACCACCTGGAAATGCAATCGTTTGCGTAGACCATCTTTGTATTATTATGGTTTGTAACTTTGTAAGAAGAGGAGGTGGGCCTGAGGATGCTCTGACTGCAACATTTTCATGTCGTTTATGTGGAAGGACGTAAACGTGGCGGTTTCTGCATAATCCAGTGAAATATTGGTTATAATCACTTATTTTTTTAAGTGTGTTACAATTATTTTTAATTCAAATTCTCACTAAATTTTTATGATCTCAGAATCTCAGAGCCAACTCTAGACAAAAGACTTATAAAGAATCATATGAAACGAGAAACTTAAACGTCTGATCATTATAATACGGGAGTAGTAAACATCCAAACAAGATAGAAAGTACATGATTTCTTTTTATTAAATAAAAAAATTGTCACAAGGTGCATTGATCATCCCTAGTCAGAGCCGGTTGTTAAGTTTAGGAGACAATAATTTAAGGCTACAAAGCTTATGTACATGAGTCTTGTAAATTTGAAAACCGAAACCAACGTTTCATTAGGTTATTTGTAGGTTGACAGTGTCGCTAGTTATTGGATTGTGTTTCTAATCATGTGTAATAATAGTATTTGGTTTTGGTTCGTTCATATATTTTGAGATGTTAACCAGTCAAGCTTGGTAGCGCCTTTGTCTTGAGGAAAAAATGTCACTTGTCTTCTGATATTATATAAATTTCTTTTGTCTATCTCACGATGTGTCGAAACACTAGCCATGTTTCTTCCGGAAATGTGATTGCAAGTTTTTACTTTAGCTTAGATGGTAACAATATATGGTTAATGTTTTTTTTCTGGAACGTATTGATCTCTAATGTATTTCATTTGTTAGGTACGGTATTTGAAATAGTTTCCAAAACCATAACCTGCGGTCTTTGAAGCCTAGTTCACATACCCTACAGGCTACATGTGATAAAATCAAGTATCCACATAATTCATGTACAAGTGTACTTCTTGATATCTAAGAATATGACAATTGTCTCAACCATTTCGATCAGAGGAATTCTTGGCATTTTGTCTCCCCTAGTCGTTTGGATGATTCTTAATATTTCAGAAGCATTTGATTAAAATACTTTAAAACCTTTGTTTCTAAACTGAAAATAAATGAATACTAAACTGTTTTACAAAGGTCCCTGAAAATATTAAAGCAATTTTTTGTAACACTTATTAAAGCAATTACAATTGTTATTTTCCTCACAAAATGATGAACAAAGAATAGAACAGTTAAGTATTCATTTATTTCAGTTTTGAACAAATTTTTTTTAAGTATTTTACTCAAGTGCTTCTTCCCAATCCCAATTTAATTCATTAAACTAAAATCACCATACGAAAGTTAATCAGTTACAAAAACATAACCGATGTTCTATAGAATTAGCTAAGTGATATTTTAAAACAAAACTTAGCCGTTAGAAATCCGTAGACATTTAAAAAAAGAAAATTAAAACATACTCTAGAATGTTATGGAAAAATATTTAAAATACCATAAGTTAACTAACTCTTTTCAAAAATACAGATTGAGTTTATTATTTTATAAATGATTATTAAATATTAATAAATGATGATTGAAGAACGCTAGTTTTATAATTTATTATACATTTAGAGTATTTATGAAGATAATATTTCTTTAAAAGTAAATTTGAAAACTAATATTAAGTTTTGTGATATAACTATAATTTTTTGAATATTATTAGACGCAAAAAAAAATTAATTTTTATATTTTATAAATTTGTTTTATTATAATTACATTTGTAAATACTAATTTCAGAAATATGGGCTGTCAAATTAATCATATAGTTTTCTTTGAATTGATTGTGATTTGAAAACTATCTTCACTCTGAGATTTAATATGATTAATAGCTTGTTGTAATTCATACTTAAATATTATTAAAAAAAAATGAAATTCAAATGTGCTATTTGGAAACCATTGTAATATTATAATATTTACTAGATTAATATGTTGTATATATATTATTTTCTTGTATTATAAATACTATATCAATTAAATTTACAAATGCTTGAGTTAAATGTTGTAGAAGGTACGGTACGTAGACGAAGTAAATTTACATTTGTAATGTTTGGAGTACCACCACACATTAAACAGATTTGAAACTACGGACATGTCCAACTTGATTTTTCTTTTTACAACTTTACAGAAGATGGTAAACGATATATATTTTATACAATGTTTGAATGTTAAAAGAATATATTTAGATGAATACGGGGAGAACAATTTCTTAAAACTTAAACTAGATTTTGATATGCGCTTTAAAAACATGAGATATATTTTTGAAGAAAATTTTATATAATCACATTTTTAATTTAAAGTAAGCTTGGGGATAAAATCTATAACCTGAAATTCAAACCTAACTTAAACAAAAAAAAACATGATCATTACCCAATACAAATTATAAAAAATACCAAAATAGATCTTGTAACTTAGTACAAATTAAGCGAATTTGAAATATTAATTTTATGGAATAATTTGTAAATTACCCTATTATCAGTTTGATATTTAAAAATTACCTCTTTATTTTATTTTATTGAAACCTATACTTTATTCAATGTGAATTTATATTTTTATCCAAAATGGATATTTCAATAATTAAAATATAATTCAAAATTAATAATAATATAGGGAATTATTAATATTTAAAATAAATATGTAGGTTGAGATAAATATGGTCTTTTACCAATAAATTTTTTTAAATAACAAAGATATTCATAAATAAAACAAATTGTGATTTGTTTTGACTTTGTCATGAAGTTTATATGAATTTTATTTTATTTTCTTAAGCTTATATAAACAAGTTCACGTATTCTCTACAAAAATATTCATTCTTCCTAAAAGTCAATATATTTATCGAGTAATTTCTTAATGACTACTAACATTTGTTATAATTTTTTTGATTTTTAATATAATATGGCTAAGGTTTAATTTCTACATCAACATCTTCTATATATTATTCCCTATATTATTTTCATACACAATATGGAAAAATATTGTGTAGATTCTCTAACAAATATTTCAAAAAATATTACGTTGTTTCTCTAACGATTTTTCCCTTTTTAAACATTTTTTAGAAGATTATATTAAGAATTGGGGAATAATTAAGATTGGGCAATTCAATAAATTTTATATACAAAAGTATATTTTCCAAAAACTTAAGTAAGAGTATAGTGTTCAAATTATAATCTTATTTCAGTGCATTTTCCCAAATTTCCCCTAATTTTATTTATAGTTTAATGATTTAAAATAATAATATGAATTTATTATTAAATTTTTACTATAATTTGTTTTGTGATAATATAAATTATATGTCTTTCAACATGTTTCATATTTGATAAATATTTATATACTTATAAAATAAATCGTAAAACTATAATAGTAGAATATAACTTATACTGCGATGTACCATATAATCGAATAGTACCAATATCAACTAAGTTTATTGTTGCATTTTTATAACATGAAAATATATTAAATATATTTTTAAGAGTTAACTTAAATATGCATATTAATATATAAAATAATCATTCTTTTAAATATTTTATTTTAGTACTTTATTTTAATAAGTTGGAGTATGTTAACATTTATGAATATATTTCATTCTGTATATGTACTTATTTTAGTTTTATATTTATCAAAAAATTTCAATAAATATATTAACTTCTTTTATATTTATTTATTGGTGTAGTAATTTAATTATAAATATCAGTTATGTATATATAAATATTATAGAAAATTTTATTTTTTTCTTCTATAAATCAAAAGTAAATTAATACTCATTTATAATAATAGTTAATATTATTTACGAATTTTTAATTATTTAAAATAAAATATTTGAAAAAGAAATATATATTTAAAAAGGATACTAAAAGATATTAATAAAATGTAATCTTTGAGAAAATATGTTTAAGAAAATCTTTTGAGATCTCCTTTTGAAAGTATTTAAACAATATATTAATTTAAGATGTATGTTTAATAATAAATAAGTTAGTTGTGGAAAAAAATAATAGGAAATTAAATATATGTAATGGTCCAACTATATATTTTTGTAAGTAGATTTTTATTGCTTACTCCCTCCGTTTCAAAAAGATTAACATTCTAGAAAAAATATTTGTTTTAAAATGATTCATTTTTTACATTTTTATTTTTTACATTTTTAATCTATGACTTAATGATAAATTGTAGATTTCTAAAAATTAATTGTGTTTCTTAAAATTCTATTGGTTAGAAAATATAGGGAATTGTTATCTACAAAAATGATGCGTCAAAATTTTATGTTTTTTTTTTAATATGTGTAAAAAGTTAAACATTCAACTTTTTGAAACAAAGGGAGTATATTTTATTAGTATCGATAGATAGGTAATATTTTTGAAACACACAATCTTAAATTATTAGCGACAGAAACTATTTGACTTTAATTTACATAAATAAAATTATGTTTAATGCTTACAATTTTCCTTTTCTGAAAAAAAAAATCTACCTCTCAGATTCTTTCAAATTCAAAAATGGAATCTCAACAAAACCAAATTAAGATATTTTGCATTCCAAATTCTTTCCCCATAATTATTAAATATATTTTTTCCAATAATTGCCAAACATAAAACGTACAAATATTTAATGTATGAAACAAAAAAACGTACAAAAATCAAAAATACAAAAAAGGACAGGGTGGAGAGTGCAGCTATTGGTAGCATGGCTGCAACAGAAGGCCAAGTGTTCGGTCTTACAACTATTTGTGTGTTGAACTCTTTGTTAATTAACACTAGAAGCCCTTTTAACACTTTGAGGGTTTTATTATTTAAACTTCCCCTTTCTCCTCTCCTCTTTTTGCTAAACCACTTCCCCCTTCAAACTCTTATACTCTTCAAAACAAAAGCTCTACAAACTTTCTCAGAGTTTAATGAAGAGACCCTTAACTACTTGTACGTCTTCTTCTACATCATCTTCTACTTCTTCCTCGTGTATCCTTCCGAACCAACCAGAGACTCAAAGGCCTAAACGAGCAAAAAGGGCTAAGAAATCATTTCCTCCTTGTGATGTAAAACCACAGAATCCGACCAGTCCGGCCTCTTCCCGACGCAGCTCTATCTACAGAGGAGTCACTAGGTTTGTTTGGAAAAAAAAATGATTGGCTTAGTTAATTATTTTTCTAAACTGCATTTGGATTGCATGTTTTATATACAGACATAGATGGACTGGGAGATTTGAGGCTCATCTATGGGATAAAAGCTCATGGAATTCAATTCAGAACAAGAAAGGCAAACAAGGTTCTTGATTTCACAAAACCCACCTTGATTTTTGCAATAAAGATCTGTTCTTTCTGACAACTGATTGATTTGATCTTTGTTCTGTCTGATCTCAACTACTTCTTGGAATCATCAGTTTATCTGGGTAAATTTCGAATACTTAATTTTTTAAAAAAATAAAAGAGAGTGGATTTGGTCAAGAGGATGAACGGATAAATCTCAACTGCTATGACGCGTGATTGCAGGAGCATATGACAGCGAGGAAGCAGCTGCACATACGTACGATCTAGCTGCTCTCAAGTACTGGGGTCCCGACACCATTTTGAATTTTCCGGTAATAAAAATAATTTGATTGATTGATGCATGTGTTTTGTTTTGTTGTGTTAATAAAAAAAAAATTGAACAGGTTGAGACGTACACGAAGGAGTTGGATGAAATGCAGAGAGGCACAAAGGAAGAGTATTTGGCTTCTCTCCGCCGCCAGAGCAGTGGTTTCTCCAGAGGCGTCTCTAAATATCGTGGCGTCGCCAGGTTCTCTTTTTTTTTTTTTTTCTCTCTTCCATTTTCTTTAATTACATGTTTGTTTTTTAGTTTATTTGGGAAATTTAAACTAAAACCAGAAATTAGTTTTGTCATTTTTCCGCATTTTTGAAAACGGTAATTAATATGGTGACTAAGAAAATTTTATTTTTTTGAAAAACTGGACTTTATTCCTAAATCATACTCCCTCCGTCCGTTTCATATTAAGTCTATATCAAATCTCGTTGTAGAGAATCTTTAAAACTTGTACATGTATCAGTATTTTTTTTTATATCTAATCTGGATAATAAAAATGCAAATTATGGAGAAACAGGCATCACCATAATGGAAGATGGGAGGCTCGGATTGGAAGAGTTTTCGGAAACAAGTATTTGTACCTCGGCACCTATAGTAAGTACAGTACCTCCTTTACTCTTTATTTTTCTTTTATAAATAGTTATTCCTGATTATATATGTTTAGCTTAATTAAAAAGCTTGTTAAAAAATTGTAAACATAATCGAATATTTTCAAACTACATGGGTATAAAGAGTGAAAATTAGTCTGGTCTTTTATTCAATAATAGAGTGTGATAATGTTTGAATTAAAAAGTCTATTAAGGAAATATTATTTTGTTTAGTAAGTCAATTACTCAATTAGATTAACATAATGGCGAGGCAGTGGGCTTTGAATGATACACACACTCACGTGAGACGAGAGTTTTGACATCATGTCCCCTCACTTGACTCTAATTAATTTTATCTCTAACCATATCAACCTTTTCTTCTTTCCCAGCTATTTTTAATTATTTGATCTCTGCATAATTACCTTTTTAATTCTGCATTTTTGTGGATCCAATACTCGGAATACAAAATACAGAACTCTGAACAGGGAATATTTACAGTTCTTTACTAAAATGTAGTATTGCCGTTTTTAATTGTTTAGGTCGGTGTCCTTTGATTATCAAGGGATCTAAACTTCTTCAAACTAATCTCTAACTACATTTTTTCAAAAAAAAAACATCTCTAACGACATATTACGTTTAAAAAAAAATCGAGTATTTTTTGGGGGTAATTAGGATTCTGTTTTGCAAGAAAAATATAGCAGTATTCTATAAAAAATAACAAAAGGGCACATATAATTCTTATTTTCGTTAAAATAAAAGAATAGGAGAGGGGAGCCAGGAGCATAATTACAAAAATGAATTCAGTAATGTATAGAATAAATGTAATGTTACAAGTGTAAAGGCGCACTCACGTGTTAACACCTCACTCCATAAAAAGGACAAAATAGTTCAGAGGTTTAGGACCAAACCCGAGGTCGATCTGGTCTACTTTTTCATTTTTGTTTGGTGGTTTATTAACATGGTTTAGTAAGAGCTGAGACTGTTCTGAGTAGGAGTCACGAGCCCTCACGTGCGTTTTTGATCTCTCCTCTCTCTAGTCTCACCATATCTTTCACCTTGTCCTGAGAACAAAATCTGGCCTTCTTTATTTTGCATATTTAAAAAATAAGAATACTATTATCTTCTTCTACTTTAAATTGTCTAAAATTATTATTGAAGTTACACTAAACTTGGTACTTAATAGTGACAGTTATTAGAGCTTAGAGTTGACACACTAGGGTAGGTGTTTTCTAATGATAAAATAATTAGTAATCGTACGTTCGTTTTTATTGATAATAATACAATTAATTAGCAAGAAATGTGGACTCTTTTTAGTGTTTAGAGCTGCGAAAAAATGGTCTGCGTACACGCCTCAGCTCTATACGCATCACACAAATAGACTAACCCTAGTTGTCCCCACTAACACGTCACCCAATTCTCTAGATTTGTTTTGTCTTTATTAGGGTATCATTACAAGAAACAGACAAACAGAAGAAAAAAAAACATTTCTTTAACACATGTCGGGGCTTTATCTGGTTGGTAGTTAGCAGCATGTGCAATATAACAAGTTGCGAAACTGTCCCGATCATGTTTAGTAGTATGGTCATGGCCGGTCATGAACACCGCCGAATGAAAATAATCGTCTTACCTTCCAAAGTTTTTAGTAACTGATATACATAAGTTTGATGGTGTGCTCTCAAATTATGAAATTTAAATTTATGCTAAAATGTTCATAGCCCCTAAAATTCAGAACCGGTTTTGGGTATGGTTAATTTGAAAATGTAACTATATGTTGCGAAGTTTTTTCTACTTGTTTATAAACTTTGATATTGGTTGCAGATACGCAGGAGGAAGCTGCAGAAGCATATGATATGGCTGCGATTGAGTATAGAGGTGCTAACGCAGTTACCAATTTCGACATTAGTAATTACATGGACCGGTTAAAGAAGAAAGGCGTCGTCCCTTTCCGTGTGGACCAAGCTAACCATCAAGAAGCTGTTCTTGCTGAAGCCAAACAAGAAGTCGAAGCGAAAGAAGAGCCTTCAGAAGAAGTGAAAGAGCACGTGCAAGAAGTGGAAGTTGGATATAATGAAGAGGCTGCAGTGGCGGTCACTAATGGCATAGATGCTTCAGGCATTATGGAGATGGAACGTTCTTCAGACAGCAATGAACTGGCTTGGAACTTCTGTATGATGGATTCAGGGTTTGCTCCGTTTTTGACAGATCAAAACCTCTCGAATGAGAATCCCATTGAGTATCCTGAGCTTTTCAACGAAATGGGGTTTGAGGATAACATAGACTTCATGTTTGAGGAAGCTAAGAACGAATGCTTGAACTTAGAGAATCTGGATTGTTGTGATGTTGTTGTGGTGGGAAGAGATAGCCCAAGTTCATTGTCGTCGTCTCCGTTGTCCTGCTTCTCAACTGACTCTGCTTCATCAACAACAATAACAACAACAGCCTCTGTTTCTTGTAACTATTCTGTCTGAGGGAGAGCTTTGCATTATAGGTTGAGTTTTCTATTTCTTTTTCTTCTTCTTCTTCTCCTTGTTGAGTTTGGTTAGGGTTTGTATTTCATTTCAGGGCTTACTCGTTGGTTCTGAGCAATCAATGTCTTGGCCTCTTTTTCTCCTCTTCTTTTCTTTATGTTTTTAAGTTTAGATGATGCATATATTTATTATATGAACCCATAAAACGGAAACAGAGGTAAAAGTGCTCACAGATTGCATAGCCAAGCCACAAAATGGTATCATTAAGCCACAACGGAGATAGCTAGTGAGCATCTGGGTTCTTTTCGGGTTTTCAGGATTCAAGATTTCAGCTCCAATTAGGTATATATAAATTTTGGTTCGGATTTGGTTCGAATTTTGCAAGGTCAGTTTGTTCGAATAATACGTTTAAATTATTTTTTAAATTTTACAAGTCATATATAATTTAAAATTTTTAAAATCTAAGAAAAATAATAAGATATAAATTTGAGTATGTATGCCAGAATACCTAAATTTAATATAAAATTGGTTTGGTTTGAATATATGTAGCGATGATCAATAAATATTTTAAGTGTTTTGAGTATTGAGTATTGATTAACTATTTTAAATATTTATTTTTGACTATTTATATATGTTTTCAGATATTATGAACAACTTCAAAATAATACATTTTAGATATTTTTGGATATCAATTCTAAAAGTAGTTAATGTATATTTAAGTATATAAATAAAATTCATATATTCAAAATATTTTGGTTTGAGTTCAGTTCAGATACCAAAATTAAAATTTTGAACTCATTCAGATATCTAACAAGTCTCGGGGGGGGGGGGGGT